GTTGTGGCACTGCAGGAGGCCCAGGATGGACATGTCGTCTGAGGAATGGGAGGGGGAGTTGAAATGGTTCGCGACTGGGAGGTGCAGTTGTTTGTTGCGAACCGAGCGTAGGTGTTCTGCAAAGCGGTCCCCGAGTCTCCGCTTGGTTTCCCCGATGTAGAGGAAGCCACACCGGGTACAGCGGATGCAGTATACCACATTGGCAGATGTGCAGGTGAACATCTGCTTGATGTGGAAAGTCTTCTTGGGGCCTGGGATGGGGGTGAGGGAGGAGGTATGGGGGCAGGTGTAGCACTTCCTGCGGTTGCAGGGAAAAGTGCCGGGTGTGGTGGGGCTGGAGGGGAGTGTGGAGCCGACAAGGGAGTCACGGAGAGAGTTGTCCCTCCGGAAAGCAGATAAAGGTGGGGAGGGAAAGATGTCTTTGGTGGTGGGGTCGGATTGCAGATGGCGGAAGTGTCGGAGGATGATGCGTTGGATCCGGAGGTTGGTGGGGTGGTACGTGAGGACGAGGGGGATTCTTTTTTGGTTTTTATTGCGTGGACGGGGTGTGAGGGATGAGGTGCGGGAGATGTGGGAGACACGGTTGAGGGCGTTCTCGACCACCGAGGAGGGGAAGTTACGGTCCTTGAAAAACGAGGACAACTGAGATGTGCGGGAGTGGAATGCCTCATCCTCCATCTCCTACCGACCAACCTCATCCCGCCCCCTTGACCTGTCCGTCCTCCCTGGACTGACCTATCCCCTTCCTAACTCCCTACCTACACCCACCTTTCCTGGCCCCATCCCCGCCTCTTCGACCTGTTTGTTTCTCTCCACCTATCCTCTCCTCTATCCCTCTTCTATCCGCCTCCCACTCTCTCCCTATTTATTTCAAAACCCCCTTCCCCTCCCCCTTTTCTGATGAAGGGTCTAGGCCCAAAACGTCAGCCTCTCTGCTCCTATGATGCTGCTTGGCCTGCTGTGTTCATCCAGCCCTGCACCTTGTTGTCTCGGATTCTCCAGCATCTGCAGTTCCTACTATCTCTGATTCGATTGTAAAATATGATCTCCCCTTTACTGTGTTGACAATCCTTGATTAATTGTTGCCTGTCTATGTGGAGATTCATTCTGTCCCTCAGAATTTTCTTTTTCTAAAGCTTCCCCAGCACTGATGTTAGACTCACTGCCTATAGTTTTCTGGCTTATCCCTACCACCCTCCTTCAACAATTGTAACATATTAGTTAACCTCCAGTTCTCCTTGAGCTTTCTGTGGCCAGAGAGGATTTGTAAATTAACGTCATGTAATCTCCTCCCTTGCCTGGCACCGCAGCCTTGAATACATGTTATCTGGACCTGGGGATTGAACCATTTTGAACCTTGCCATAACTGTTAATACTTCCCTATCATTTTGCAAACAAATTCTAACGTCCTGCCTTCCAATCCACAAATACTATACCCAACTTTGCAACAAGTGGCTAGTCCAGATAAGGACAACAGATTTCCTTCCCTAATGGACATTAATGAACTAAATGGGTTCTTGTGGCAATCAGTGGTGGTTTCATGGTCACTATTTCTAACACTAGTGTTTATTGTTTATTTAATTATTATCAATAAATCAAACAAATTTGAATTGCTCCAGTCTTAGGGCAGGATTTGAACTCATGACCTTGGCAAACTAGTCTGTTAGTGTAGCAATATTACCAATGCCTCCCTCTCTGAAGTAAGGTGCATTTATTATTTTTAGCTGAAAACAGAAGCTGAATTGTCAGCGACAAAAGAGAGGATGGAATCAAAGAAAATCTCAGGATGCTCCTGTTAAATCTGACCTTCTTTAACTTGATGACACCTTCCTGGGTCTTATCATCTGTAATTACAGCAAATGAATCTGAACCATCGCCAGCTTCAACTATGTAGTCCATTTCTGCATTTTGTCCAATATCGACATCTGTCGCCATTATCCTCCCAACAGTCGATCCAATGCTGCCTGATTCCAGAACAGAAAAGTGATATAGCTCTGAAACAAGAGGTGAATGATAAAGGAGTTATTTGATCAGTTTCGGAGATTAATACTCAGCAGAACACCCTATTCAGAAAGTATTACATAGCAGGTCGATACACAGTATTATGGACTAGACCAGACCTCCTCAAAATATTAAGAAGGTAGCTAGACACTAACTTTTACTTATTTCAAAGGTAAATGTGAGGTGTTGTGTTCCAGATGCAATTTTATTGGTCAAACTACTAGATGTTAAGCAAAACACAATTTATTCAAACTCTATAGTTGAAATACAACAAAAGAAAGTGGAACTTGGAACAATTTAATTCCATTGGAAAACTTAATAGAATAATACATGCAGTACGTATTACTAATTAACTAATATAGTATCATCCCATAAACACATCCTTGGCAAAATGCAAATTCAAAACACAGATTGTCTCACAGGAAGTTCTGTAATCCATGAGGAAAGACCATCAAAAGACAATTCTGAGAGAGACAGTATAGCAGTTGGGAGAGATTCACTGCCTTCCAACCGGGCTGAAGGCTGGAACTAAATATCTTGGTTCTCTGGGTGTGAGCTTGACCACACTCATTCAGGTTATTTCTAATTTTCCAACTTAAAAAAAAACCAATGCTTCACAAGTTGTTTATCTTCTCAAGGACTGCTCTTCATCTGTCCTCTAATCTCTCTCTAAAAGAAACCAGGACAAAATAAACTCTTAAAGCCACTGCATCAACACACCAACCTAAATTTATTTAGCTTCTTAACATGCAATAATGAGACAATAAGGAGCTACCAATTCCAAGACAGACACAGACCCATAGTCTCGCAATAACAGTGGAAAGGTTTCTGCTGCGATTACAATCAAAAAACTGCACCTAGAATCTATCAGGAATAGTGCTAGTTAGATTAGTTCACCAAAACATATCTGTGTCACAGTGACGACAAAATCTTCCATGAACCAGTGTGACTAAACGTAACTTTCATTTTTCTTCTTTGCATCAGAGAGCTGAAAAAGGTATATTTTTGTTAAGGGTGGTCAGTCCTTTTGTGATTACTGTATTGCCTTTTCATTCGAGAGGTAAATATCACTGTCCAAGTCAACATTCATGACTGAACCCTCACAGCCCTTGAGGAGGCAGGGATGAGCTGTCTTCTTGAACCCCTTTAGTTCAGAGGGTGCAGGGTGCTGCTCAGGAGAGGGTACCAAGATTTTGACCCACCAGCAGTAAAGGAAACACAGGTATAGTTCTGAGTCAGGATGGTATGTGGCTTGGTGGAATTTGCACGTTGTGCCATTTCACATGCAGTCCTTGTCCTTCAGGATAAAAATCACAAAAATTATTTTGAATAACATTATTTTTCTGAAGAAGGGTCCTGACCCAAAACGTCAACTTTCCTGCTCCTCCTTTGCTGCCTGGCCTGCTGTGTTCCTCCAGCTCCACACTGTGTAATCTCTTATTTTGAATAATATTACTGAACCACTTTGTTACCGCTGCTGAGTTAGTCAGTTCTCTCATAAGTAAAACAATGTTTGATACAAGAATCCTTTGAATGTGTGCCTACTAATGCCTGTGCATCTCTGAAATGTTATTTATTATTGTCACATGTACCTCGGTACAGCGAAAAGTTTTGTTTTGCATGCACTACAGGCAGATCATACCATACAAACAACAGAACAGAGTAAGGAATACAATATTACAGCTGCAGAGAAGGTGCACAAAGAGCGAGATCAACAATAAATTTAAAATTTGAGAGGTCCATTCAGAAATCTAGTAACAGCAAGGAAGAAGCTGTTCTTGAATCTGTTTGTAGGTGTATTTGAGCTTTTGTCTCTTGTGCCTGATGGAAGAGGTTGGAAGAGATTATAACTGGGGTGAAATTGAACACAGCTTGAGGAGCTACCATCAGCCAATGCTTGCTGGTGGATGTGTTATCCTGGGCGTTGTTGTTAGCAATGTGTGAATTATTTTCTTTGTTGCATGTGAATATGACTGGCTAGGCCAGCAGTTTTCAGCTCAAGTCCATAGTCTAGAGGAGAGTCAAGTATCAAGCACATTACTGTGGGCCTGAACTCGCAGCCAGAGCAGGTAAAAAAAGCAGACTTCCTTCCCTCAAATCCATTAGTGAACCAGATGGGTATCTGCAACAATTGTTACACAGTCACCATTAGGGTAGCTTTGAATTCCATGTTCTCAATAGAATTCATATTTCCTCATCTGCCAAGATGGGATTCTAACCATGTCTCGGGTTAGCCTCGGGTCTCTGGATTACTTGTCTACTGTCATGAGCACCCATCTCTCAGATTTAATTTTGGGTGCAAAATTCCCTGATTTTTTTTTAAGAATTTTTATTGTGGAATTGCCCATTAGAAGATGATGGTGAGCCGCATTGTGTAGTGACTCAGCCCAGATTGTGTCAATGTAAATAACAATAATGAGCAAATGTCCTGCTCACAGAAACATAGAAAACAGGAGCAGGAGTAGGCCATTCGGCCCTTTGAGCCTGCTTCACTGCTCAATATGATTGTGGCTGATCATCCAACCCAGTACCTCTTCCAGGTTTCTCCCCATACCCTTCGATCCCTTTAGCCCCAAGAACTCTCTCTAACACTTTCTTGAAAACATTCAATGTTTTGGCCTCAACCGCTTTTTGTGGTAGAGGATTCCAAAGGCTCCCCACTCTCTGAGTGAAGACATTTCTCTTTATCTCATTCCTAAATAGGCTAACACTCTATCCTTATACTGTGATAGTGGTTCTGGAATTCCTGGTCATCAGAACATCCATCCTATATCTACCCTGTCTAGTCCTGTTAGAATTTTATAGCTTCTTGTGAGATTGGCTCTCATTCTTCTAAACTCCTGTGAATATACTCCTAAAACCCGTCCAATCTCAATTCATGCTTCAGACCTATGACTCCACGTTCTCATGTTTAATTTTTGAATGACTCATAGAATCCCTACAGTGTGGAAGCAGGACATTCAGCCCATTAAATCCACACTGACCCCACCCCCTCGAAGAACACCCCAACCAGACCCACCCCCTTACCCCATACCCATAACCGTGCATTTCACATGGCTAACCCACCTAACCTGCACACCTTTGGACTGTGGGAGGAAACCGGAGCACCCAGACGAAACCCATGCACACACCGGGAGAATTGCAAACTCCACACAGACCATTGCCCGGGGCTGGAATCAAACCCAGTTCCCTGGCGCCGTGAGGCAGCAGTGCTAACCACTGAGCCACCATGCTGCCCCAAATGGATTAGAACAACTCTCTCCATGAAGTTCCCAGAATTCTCTAAGCTCTGGATGCCCAAACTGTGAGGCCAAGAGAGAACAAAACAGCTTTTTCCATTCTCCCCGTCAATCTCGGGAGTGGAGCTGGAAATCCAAATACCTCAGGGTTGTCCGCACCACTTTCAGGCTCTCAGGAAAATGGCAATTCTTCACATGTGAAGGGAGCGCTGACAGCACATTTGCTCACTGATGCCAATTACAGATGAGCCAAAACCTCAGCCCATCTAAAACTTAAACTTTTCCCTGACAACATTGAGTGGAAACACAGGCATTTACTTTCTCTCTTTCTATTCCTTATTTCAGCCAACTGTATGGCAGCCATTACTTTTAGACCGTGTCTATCAATTGGCTACCCTTTTAAGACATTAGACAATTTATTTATATGATTAGTTCCAGCGAGATGGAGATATAATTCTTCAATCTGCAGTGAGCCAAGTTTCATGCTCGAAACTCATTTCAATTGCTCAGAAATCCAGTGAATCTGACCAGTTTTTGGCTGAGCTGTTCAGAAGAGGTAATAAATTGTAGCATGAAGCATCGGCAGAAATGACTGTTTTAAGTTCTGCAGCGAGATGTTCCAACAGGTAGGTACGCAATTATACCTGGGGTTCACATTAAAATAACAGCCTGCAGCTGAGATTCTACATTCAGCAGATAACATTGAAAGCAAAATTGGTTTGTGTATTTCTGACGAGGAATAATTGGCGTTGCATCAAAAATATCAGTGTGTACACTTTCTCTACGCTGTGTGCTCGGTCATTCCGTAGGTACCTGGATATCGATTAACCTGTTGATTTCAGCCACTTTCAGTTTCTCCAGCGGCTACTGTGCTTAGACCTTGGAGATCCACTCAGCGGCTGTAGAAATTAGAGGGACAGTAGATCAGAATTATAGCTTCTGAAAATCCTATATAAGCCAATTCTGTGTGGGATCTTATGCGGCGAGAGATATTGATAAGGTTGGAATGATCCGAAGATGGGATCCACCATTCTGCAGGAGTTGCTTTGGGAGATACACCAGTGACACGTCCTTGATCCAAGATTTTGGAATAGGAACGCTGCAGTGAAACAAACAGAAACGTAGACTGACCATACCCTGTATAATATGGTTTGGATTTGCAGCATGCCGCTGATCACAGCCTCCAGTCCAAAAACATCCCTCCACCACCCCCCTCTGTCTTCTATATTCAAGCCAATTTTGTACCCAAATGGCTAGTTCTCCCTGGATTCCGTGTGATCTAACCTTGCTAACAAGTCTACCATGTGGAACCTTGTTGAACGCCTTGCTGAAGTCCATATAGACAAAGTACACCACTCTGCATTCATTAATCTTCTTTGTAACTTCTTCAAAAAAAAACTCAATCAAGTTAGTGAGGCTCAATTTCCCACACACAAAGCCATGTTGACTATCTCTAATCTGTCCTGGCTGTTCCAAATACAAGCAACTCCTGTCTCTCCGAATCGCCTCCAATAACTTACCCACCACTTACGTCAGGCTCACCAGTCTATAGATCCTTGGCTTTTGCTTACCACCTTTCTTAAATAATGGCACCACATTAGCCACCCTCCAGTTTTCTGGCACCTCACGTGTGACTATCGATGATACAGTTATCTCAGCAAGGGGCCCAGCAATCACTTCCCTAGCTTCCCACAGTGTTCTAGGATACACCTGATCATATCCTGGGGATTTATCTACCCTAATGCTTTTTAAGACCTCCGGCACCTCCTCTTTTGTAATATGGGCATTTTTCAAGATATTATTGTTTATTTCTCCAAGTTCTCTCGCTTCCATATCCTTCTCCACAGTGAATACTGATATGAAATACTTGTTAGTATGTCACCCATCTCCTGTGGTTCCATATATAGACAGACTTGTTTATCTTTAAGGACCCCAATTCTTTCCTTAAAATTAAACTGCCACCTTTTGGAATAGCAATGTTTGATTTCCAGGGAAATACCCCAGTAGATCATGACACAGTTAAGAGTCAACCACATTCCTTTGGGTCTAGAGTCAACCATAGCCCCGACCAGATAGATGATAGGTTTCCCGCCTTCAAAGACACCAGTGATCCAGATGGGTCTCTATGACAATGACGAATGCTAACCTTCTCTTTTTCAGCATTGTATTGAACTGAATTTCAATGCATTTCCCCAGAACGTTAACCCAGCAACATCAGCACCACCTCCCCATCATGTTACCAACAGGAACCTGTTGATCCTTAAATGTCATATTTTAATGTATCTATATAACTGCCCCCTTTAATAATGATGGCCCAATGCTTTTTATTTAACGATTAACCAGAGTGACACTTATCAAATGGGGCTCGAAGCTGCTACAGTCTGTGTCAATATTATCTCAGGTCAGCCACCTTTCCAAACAAGTTACAAATTCATGTTTAATGCTGCACAAACACTAAACAAAACCTTTCAAACGAGAGTGCAATTGGGTAGCTGTTTCATGGACTGAGCATTTAACAGGTTTACAAGTGTTTACATTCCCAATACCTTCTGAGTTTCCCGTCTTAACTGTTGCTCATTGTACTTAACACACATTTCAAAGCACTGTCTACTTTATTTGGTGCCCTTGGTCATCTCACTTGCTGTAGAGTGCCACCTGCTGCAAGTTCAAGGGAAAAGAGGTACTTAAATATAATTTAGAAGTAAGTTTAAGATGCTGTGCAATCTGTCCTCCACTGTTTTTCAATTGAATAGTGAGCACCGATGTGATGCTGAGTGTGGTCCAGGCGTCGAGGGAGATATTTTGAGACTGTAACACTGAGCACATAGTCTGCGGATGGAAGCAGATTGGCCCTTACTAGTGGCTTGGGGAGACACAGCATTGAAGGAAGTCAGTGCACCCAAATAAAAGTTAACCCATTCCATTGGAAGGAAGGGTGAACCCAACAACGTGAGATTCGACGCTTTAACATAGGAGAATGATGATCCGTGGTGAGTGACTCACAGAACAGATTCATTGAAAGTCTATGACACAGAAAGAGGCCACTTGGCTCAGAGTATCTTGCAGTTGAGTGATGGGCCACCCAGCCTTATCCACTTGCTAGCATAGCACTGTAAGAGACAGCACTTGATCTGCATATCTAATCTGTTTTTCTAGAAAACCTTTTTCCTCTGCTACCCATTCAGGCAATGAGTTGCAGACCCCTCCAAATCCATTTCCTACTCCCCAAAGCCTAGTCAGAAATGACTAGACTTCTCCCCACTCGCCTGGATGCTCCAACAACACTCAAGTAGCTCAAAACCACCCAGGACAAAGAAGCCCACTTGATTGGCACCACATCTGCAAACATCCACTCCCTCCACTGTTCACTCACAATGACTCTATGACACTTCTCAAGGCACGAACTGCACATCATCCTGATTTGGAAACATTCTGCTGTTCCTTCACTGTCACAGGGTCAAAATCCTGAAACTCCCTTCCCAAAAGCACTGTGCATGTTCCAATATGGCAAGGAATACCACAGCGCAAGTAGATAGTTCACTACCAGCAGAACAGGCAACAAATGCTGGTCTCACAGAGACACTCACATTCCACAATAAAATTAAAACCAGCATAGAATGGGTGGTCAGTGACTCAGTTCTAGAATGACGATGACCCAAATCTCAGTGCATCATTGAAAAATAAAACAAAAACCATTGATCGTCGTGTTCAAAATATGATGGGATCGGCACGTAGTAGTTAGGACTGAGAGGACTCTGGGATGGACTCCAAGTCCCTGAATTATTTATCTTTTCTTTAAAGCTGACAGATCGCCACTCCAGGTGGCCTCTGAGAACAAGTTGCATTGTGTCTTCGAAAAAGCAGTTAAGTCTACAAGTGTATGTTAATAGTTCCAGGAAGATATCAAGCCTTGTCCTCAATATTTATAACTTCTATGATAATGAGAATTCCCGTCGAGCTGAAAGTTACTTACTGTGCTGGAATTTCGGTCTGTTGTCATTAACATCAGACAGGGTAATGGTCACAGTCGTTGTCACAGAGAGACCTCCCTTTAACCCGGCCATATCTTTAGCCTCTATGATAACCACGTGCTGTTCTTCAGCCTCTCTGTCTGTATTAGGCGAAGCAACTCGAATAACTCCTGTAGAATACATTCCCAATTAGTTGAAACAAAAACATGCCCTTGTAGCTGAAACCTGTTAGGAGTTCACTAGACGACAAACAAGAAAAGAATTTCCAATTGGTTCTATTATCTCAGATAATGTAAAAAGTCACAGATCAGAAACAATTTCCCCCTGGATTAATGTCTGGACATCACCAAAAGGCAGTTTCTGCTGGAGTTAGAAATTTAAGGTTCATTACTTTTCCAAGGAGTGACATTTCAGCTACCTAAATAATTTATTTATCGAATACTTCTATCTAGGGCACATAAACATGACAAAATGTGTTTCAGTTGTAGCTGATACATGAGTACCTTGTTATTAAATATTTCCTTTGCCACTCAAATAATTGGCCCATTGGAACACCGAATGTAGAGCTGTACAGCACAGGAAATAGGCCCTTCGGCCCACCTTGTCTGTACTGACCTTGATGCCATTTGAACTAATCCTATCTTCCTGTACATGCTCCACATCTCTCTATTCCCTGTCTGCTTCAGATGTTTGTCTATAGGTGTGAGGCTGGGAAAGCACAGCTGGTCAGACAGCATCCGAGGAGCAAGTAAGTCAATGCTTCAGGCTGAAACCCTTTTTCAAGACAGGTTTTGGCCTGAAGCATTGACTTACCTGCTCTTTGGATGCTGTCTGGCCTGCTGTGCTTTTCCAACCTCACGCCTACAGATTCTAGCTTCCAGTGTCTGCAGTCCTTATTATCTCCAGATGTCTGTCTAAATTTCTTAAATGTTGCTCTCAAAGCTGCTTCTACTGCCTCCTCTAGCTGTGTGTTCCATTCATCTACCACCATTTGTGTAAAAGAACATGCCTCACACATCTTTAAACTTCCCCTTCTCACCTTAAACCTATGCGCCCTAGTGTCATCCCTGGGAAAAAAGATTCTGACTATCCACGCCTCTCATGAAACAGGCCTGTTTCAGGAAAAGCAAAATTCAAGTCAAGTTGTCATAGTCTTACCAGACCATAGGGCTGCTCTCTCATTTGAGAGAGATGACTGGTGGTGGTTTAACCTGAGGGGTACCGTGCCTCAGGTGAGGGGAGAGGTTGAGAAGGAAAGTCCTTCATGGTAACCTCAGCTGGTGATGGAAATTGAAGCTATGCTGTTGGCATCACAGTGTTTCTCAAACCAACCATCCTGCCAACCAAACTAAACTGACCTCCAAAAAGCCAAGTTAGGATATCAATGACTTCCTCTTGTGTGGTGGGGTCGACCTTGTGAATGGCTGTGAAAGCAAAGCAATAAATAATCCAGGCCTGCAGGTTTTTGTATAAGGCCAAACCAATCATTAGCTCAAAATCACTGCTGCTCCCATAGCCTTTCTCCTAAGATAGAAGTATTCTCAAATTTGTCCCAATTCACACACAACACTGTAAATAAAATGGGCATAAATTTACATATTTTTTCCACTGAGTTTGAAAAATGTAGGTATGACGTAAGAGTTAAGTTCTCCAGGGGATTCTAAAATATATAGGAACGAAAGAATGTTTCCTTTCATGTGAGGTGGAAGGGTGCAAACTAAGCGGAACTCAGTTCATTGGCAACATTCTCCAATCATTTATTCCTGTCAGATGACTGTTTCTAGACACTGCTAGAAAAAGCACTTTCAGCTCCGAGGACGATGATTTGTAGGTCGTCCTGGTCAAGATAAGGAAAGAAGTTCATTTTCTTTATAGAGACTCCCAGGGTTTCAGGCCGTCTCAAAGCCATGGTATCACTTTTGAAGTGTGTGTACCCAGCAAGCTCCCACAAACAACAGTGCGATCATGGTTAGTTGTAGTGTTGCTGATTGGACTGGATAAAAATGAGGACCTGGATGGTGCCCGCTTCTTGTCTTCGAACAGCACTCATACATGTAGCTGAAAAGGCAGACAGAGCCTAAATTTCACTCCTTACCTGAAAGCAAAGCTTCCTGAAATAACTGCACAGAGGCTGGTATCCCATCACTGAGTCACCCTTTATTTACATGGGCACAGTACATGGGCTCTGACCAGCCAGCTGACCAGCTGACCTCTGACCAGCTCAGAGCCCATCACTAGTCTGAGGAGACCTTCTGAATTTCCTACTTATATCTGTCAGCCAGGGCTCCCTGATTGACCCAGGTTAACAACCTCAATCAAGGGTCTCATAGTCAATGAGATTTAACCGACTCTGGTTCCAATCACTTCCGATAGTGGTGCACTGCACTGGGGGTCAGTCTGAATCAGTCAGGCTTTGGTGAAAGAGTGGGATGAGTTAAATGGCTCTTCCAAAGATAAGCCCAATGATGGGCCCAATGTGATGTTAACTGACATTAATCCCTCAACATTAAAGGCACACAAGAATGCAGAACCTTTTAGCTTGCACTGCTCAGCACTAGGTCTCAAGAACTGATTTGGAAAAGAAGCATTAACTTATGCTTTGCTCAAGTCTGTTTCTTACATCTTCAGTTTGAAGAGTTCAAGACTTGGACTTCTTGTCTCCTTTTAGCAATGTTTAAGTTCTATACTACCAAGGAATTTTCGGTGCTTGTTTTTACAAAAATGAGTTACAAGCATCATTAGCTAGGCCAGCATTTATTACCCAAAGGTCAGTTATGAGTCATTGCTGTGGGTCTGGATTTACATAAAGGTCAGACCAGGTAAGGATGGCAGATTTCCTTCCCTGAAGGACATTCGCAATCCAGATGGATTGCAATTCCAGATCTTAACTGAATTCAAATTTTGCCATCTGTTCATAGTGGGATTTGAATTCATAGCCCCTGGGCATTAATCTAGCATTCCTAGATTATTGTTCGAGTGACTTTACCACTGCACTGCAATCTTCCCATTTGGAAGTAGCCAGATACAAAAATTGGTAGAGACCAGAAATAATTTGAAGGCTAATTGGTAGTCCTGTGCTTCTGAACATATATTGCTGTCAGAGAGAACTGTGTCAGTGTCCATTGATCCCCATCAGTGGGCAACAGCCCAGCACTGCCTGAAGCTTTTCTGATGTCCAATCCAACTGCTTGTCAAATTGAAACTTCACAGCTCAAAGATCATAGAATCTCTACAGTGTGGAAACAGGACATTCGGCCCAACAAGTCCACATTGAACCTCAGAGCATCCCACCCAGACCCATCCCCCTATAACCTACCTAATCTACACATCCCAGAACACTACGGGCAATTTATTTTGGCCAATCCACCTAACCTGCACATCTTTGGACTGTGAGAGGAAACCCACGTAGACACAGGGAGAATGTGCAAACTCCACACAGACAGTGGCCCGAGGGTGGAATCGAACCTGGGTCCCTGGCGCTGTGAGACAGCTGTGCTAACCACTGAAATCATCACATCTTGTATTTTAGATTCCCAATACCTCACGAATGGGAGATTTCTGCCTCCTCTTCGCAGATTTCCCTGGCAAGTACCATGGATGTTATCACTTATCCAAAAGCAGGCATGCACAGCAGGTGACTGTTCCTGTCCAAACTGGTTGGCAGAATTGGCAGCACTATTTTTACCATCCTGTGTCAGAATTCAGCAGTGAGACAACTAAAGTGTTTCACTCTTCCATGAAATGCTACGATCATGGCCAGCCCTTACGATCTGGATCGTACTGCACATCAAGCTGGGTTGGAAGGAGATTCAAGAGGAGCTTGCAATAGGGAAGTGAAGATCTGAAATAAAACAATGTCTTAGGGTTGTTACAGAGATAGTAGGAACTGCGGATGCTGGAGAATCGGAGATAACAAGGTGTGGAGCTGGATGAACACAGCAGGCCAAGCAGCATCGGAGGAGCAGGAAAGCTGACGTTTCAGGTCTGGACCCTTCTTCAGAAAATGTCTTAGGGTTGTGTGGAAGAGGGAAGAGAACATAGGACTGACTGAATAGCTGTTTCAAAGTGCTAAAACTTGAATGATTGGCTGAATGGCCTTTCTCTGTGCTGCATTATTCCACAATTTAATGATCGCGCAAGGATTGGAAGCAGTAAGTGGTTTTAATGATATTCTGTCAAGGCACAGCTTGCAAACTTTCCAGACTGTCCTTTCCATAGATTTGAAGTGATATGCAAACAAAGCAAGGGGGATATAAGAATTTTCTTTTTCACACAGTGAACAGTTAGGGTATGGGATTCATTGCCTAGAAATCGAGACTGGATCAATTAAAGCATTCAAGAGGTCAGAAACATTGGGAGAGGGCTGGACATTGGCACTGCATAATAGAACCAGTGTAGGCATGATGGGTCGAATGGCCTCCTTCTGCACTGTGCAATTCCATGATTCCTCAACAATAAGCAACATCATACTGCACGCCCTTCTCTAACTCATTGACCTCCTGGGGAGCAGTTATTCTGAGGAGGTACCCTCTTCACCTCTGCAGGTTTTGGCAAACAGCAATGTGCTGTCTCTTTCTCCCTTCCCCCCTGCCACTGCCCTCACTGCCTCACAGTGTTTCCCAGGCAACCAAAGTCTTGAACTTAAAATTCTTCTCTTTGTTTGCAACTCATCCCCATGGCCTTGCTCCCCAGCCCCCATCTCTATACCTCCAAAATACCAACCTTCAAGATATCTGCGCTCCTCTAATTCTAGTCCCTTGCCCATTCCCAACTACAATTACAGATGGCTTTGTCTTGCTTTGCTTCAAACTCAATTCCCTTTCTTCACACTGCCTCCCGACCTCACATTCCTAATTTAAAACACTCTTTGAAATCCACCTCTTTGACTAAACTTTTGGTGGCTATTAATTGTCTCAGTGCAGATAATACAAAAACAGAAGTTGCTGGAAAAGCTCAGCAGGTTTGGCAGCATCTGTGAAGAAAAATCAGAGTTAACTTTTCAGGTTCGGTAACTCTTCCTCAGAACGGAGGAAGTGTCACGAGTCCCCGTAAACATTAACTCTGATTTTTTTCTTCACAGATGCTGCCAGACCTGCTGAGCTTTTCCAGCAACTTCTGTTTGTGTTCCTGATTTACAGCATCCACAGTTCTTTCGGTTTTTAAATAAGAGAATAGCTGTGAGACCGGGTGTGAGCTAAAAGAGGTAAGACTCAGCAAGTCAATAAACTCCCTCCTCCAAAGGAAAAGACGTACCTTGGTTTCAATCTCATCGACTGGCTTGGAATCTATTAACATGTAACTGGGAGTAATTGCTACTTTGAAGAGGACAGCAGTCAAAACATTTTACTTCACGTTATAATATTTCCTCCAGGAAAGGGAAAAAAAAGAGAAGTGGGAGATCTTCATGTGGTTTTCTTTGCTTTTCCAGAGCTAGCAGTGAGAGATCCTGCAGGGATATATGAACTGCTACAGCAGTTCAGTAGAAATATGGTGAATACTAATGGCAGGAGTACCTGCATGCACTCCAACAGCATGAATCTTTTCCTGACACTCCTAATTTAGAATGCTAATTTTCCTTCAAAAGTTATAAACTCTGGGTTTTTTTTGGTTTAAGCTTGCAGTGAGTTATCCCTTGAGCAATTTGTAGACTCTCTGAAAATCTATTACACAGTACTTTGTAATCTCTTGCTTGATCCGAGTGTCTTTGCTTTCCTCTTCAAAGTGATTTTCACTTCAAGGTGATGATTTTCTTCGCCTTGTCAATTAGATCTGGCATTTACTCTGTGTTTATCAGCAGAAGTATATAGACAGCTTGCGGCCACTAACATTCTAAAACTTTCAGTGAGAGTCTGTACAGTGAGTTGAAATTCCCTTGCTTTTTCATGAGAAATTGACTGACGTTCCAGTTGAGCTCATCTGTGTCCACAAAACAGGGCTTTTTCACCTCCGACCCTTCCTTCAAATTCGAAACATCTTTACAAAGTGTGGTGATAACAGTTTGCAACTCTCTCTCTCCGCATGTGGGAACTGAGACTAAACTTGTTCATTTTCAATCTGAGACTGATAGATTTATTATTGATTTAATTTGATTTATTAAATCATAGAAACCCTACAGTGTGGAAACAGGCCATTTGGCCCAACAAGTCCGCACCACCCCTCCGAAGAGCATCCCACCCAGACCCATTTCCCCTACTCCTGCATTTCCCTTGTCCAACCCACCTAACCTACACATCCCTGAGCACTATGGGGCAATTTAGCATGGCCAATCCACCCTAACCTGCACATCTTTGGACTGTGGGAGGAAACCGGAGCACCCGGAGGAAACCCACACAGACACAGAGAGAATGTGCAAACTCCACACAGCAATGCCACCATGCTGCCCAAATTATTAATGATTGATTTGATAGATGCTTTCTACCCAAGGATATTGAGAGATATGGGACTTAGGAGTGAGGTATGGAAAAAAGGTGCAGATCTGCATCAGTGTTGTGGATGGTCCTACACCCAAGGAGCACAGCGAGTTCAAGGCAGTAGCTCACCACCACCTTTTCCAAGGTAACTTGGGATGGGTAATGAGTGCTGGCTCAGCCAGCGACATCCACATCCCATGAAAGAATATTAAAAAGAAATCAGAAATTATGTCACTGAACCATGGAACAGGCTTGAGGAGTCAAATAGTTTTCCTCTGTTTCTCTGTTATGGCCTGGGAAAGCATAAAAGGACCTGCATTTCTGATTGCTCATGATCTCAGGATATCCCAGAGCACCGCACAGATTTTTTTTTAAAGCAGTACGATCAGGTTCTAGTCACTGTTAACAGGATAGCCCATTTATGCAGAGCAAGGTCTGGGTGGCTTTGATGGTCCTCTTTTTCCTCCATGAGATGTGGGTTTCGCTGGCTGTGCCAGCATGCAGTGCCCATACCTAACGTCCCTGGAGATGGAGATGCCTTGGAGAAGGAGATGCCCTGGAGAAGGAGATGCGCTGGAGAAGGAGATGCCCTGGAGAAGGAGATGCCCTGGAGAAGGGGATGCCTTCTTGAAGCTTGCAGTCCACATGGTTGCAGGTTCACTACCATGCTTTTAGGGACAGAGTTCCAGGATCAAACCAGGAGACCTAGGGGTATCGCTGCATAGTTCCTCGAAAGTGGAGTCAAAGGTCGACAGGGTGGTGAAGAAGGCACTTGGTATACTAGCCTTCATTGGTCAGGGCATTGAGTACGGGAGTTGGGAAGTTCTGATTTCTATTGTGGCCGTACAGGACATTGGTGAGACCACTTTTGCAATACTGCGTTAGTTCTGGTCTCCCTGCTATAGGAAAGATACTGTTAAACTTGAAAGGGTTCAGAAAATATTTACAAAGGTTTTGCCGGGACTGAAGGCTTTGAATGGAGGGAGTGGCTGAAAATGCTGGGGTTTCTTTCCCTGGAGCATCAGTGGCTGAGGGGTGACGTTATAAAGGTTTATAAAATCATGAGGGACATGGATAGGGAGAATAGGCAAGGTCTTTTTACCAGGGTAGGGGAATCCAAATCTAGAGGGCATAGGTTTAAGGTGAGGGGGAAACATTTAAAAGCAACTTGAAGGGTAACTTTTTCACACAGAGCGTGGTGTATGCATGGAACACAGTGCCAGAGGAGGTGATAGAAGCGGGTACAGTTACAAATTTATCTGGGTTGGTACATGAATAGGAAGAGTTTAGAGGGATATGGGCCAAATGCTGGCAATCAGTTTAGGATATTTGGTCAGCATGGATGAGTTTCCATTCTATCTAACTCTATGACAATGAAAGTGAAGGACTGATGATATATTTCCGAGGCAGCATGGCATGTGGTTTGGAGAGAAATCTTGCTGCTTTTGGTTTTGTAATTGTCAAGAAAAACAGGGGAATCTCCCTGGTCTGTCTTCATATTGTGTGGTGGGAACCTGCCAGGAGGGTGGTTAAATTTATGTTCTGAATTACAGCACCTCTGATGGTGAACCACTGGAAAATCATTCCGTACTCCAACCTCTAACGTAGGACATAACCCCATGAGCTTGCTGAACTGGAGAGGCGAGTGCTGGCAACAGAATCACAATGAAGAATTTCTTCAAACGGTGGCTGAGTTAGGTGGACATTGATGTTTACAGGAATGCTTCTGAAAGGCTGGTCTTTGAATACCAACTATCTTGTTTTTTATATTTGATGCCTCAATTTTTGCAATTTATAGCAGTGACTATACTTCACTGGCAGGTGATTTGAGACATCTGGAGGACATGAACGGTGATGTATAAAAGCAAGTCTTTCTTTACATTCTATTGACAAGGATCCTGTAAGTAATTTTTGACCAATCTGTTCAGAGATCTTATGACACCCCTCTGGAGCATGCGAGACTTGAACCTGAGGTATTTTCCCAAGGTGGAGGAGTCAATTACGAGGGGACACAGGTTCAAGGTGCGGGGGGTGGGTGGGGAGGGGTAGTTTAAAAGAGATGTGCGAGGGTGATGAGTGCCTGGAATGCACTGCCAGAGGAGGTGGTAAAAGCAGACACAATAGCAACATTCAAGAAGCACCTGGATGAATGAATGGGAAGGGAATAGAGGAATACGGATCCTGTAAGTGAAGATAGTTTTAGTATGGAAGGGCAAAATGTGTTGGCGCTGGCTTGGAGGGCCGAAGGGCCTGTTCCTGTTCTGTATTGTTCTTTGTTCTTGGTCAAGAACTGGGGACACTATCACTGACAACACAAAAACCTTAAAATAGCAAGGGCTTCGGCCTTGGGTGATCTTGAACTACCAATCTTTTGATTAACAGCTAAACATATTGACTAACCTGCACCACAGAAGCCAATACCTTGGATGGATTACAGATCTAAAATAACAAAGGATTGTTTTTACGTTAATTATTCATGGAATGAGGGTATCTTCTGGCATTACCACATTGCTACGTGTGGGAGCTCAGTGTGTGTAAATTGATTGCTATGTTTCCTATATTACGACAATTATGTACATTGCCTTTTGACATCGACTAATGAGAATCTAACTTTGGGATGGGATAGGCTCAAGAGGCTGAATTGCCTCCTTCTGTTCCTATCTCCTTGAGCAGGACCCTGGTTGTGCGAGCATTCACAACCAATGATATCTAACTTCAGTTTAATGCTAATCTGGTCACAAGTTATTTTACCTTTCTCCTTCACGGGATAAGGGTACTGCTGTCCATGCCCAGCTACCTGTGAACCAACTGGCCATTTCAGAGGGCAGTTAAGAGTCAATTACATCACTGTGGGTCTGTTTGGCCAGATCAGGTAAGAATGGCCGATTTCCCTTCCTAAAGGGCGTCAGGTTTTTACAAAAAAAAGTGACATTGGTTGCTTTGGTCACCATTTCTGAGGCAAGATTTATATTCTAGATTTATTGATTGTATTTCAAATGTCACCAGCTACCCTGGTGAGATTGGAACCTAGATCCTCAGAGCATTAGCAAGACCTATGCTGGATAACAAGCCTAGTGACAGTACCAACACATGAGGAACAGTCAATGCCACCAATTTATGCTCTCTAGACATTCATGCCTTCCTTATAGCAAGCTCCATGACACTTATGTTACCTGTTGTTGGCTCCACCAAAAAATATGGTTGTCCCTGCAGGATATAGTAGACTACCCTGGCATGGCTCCCATAGGAAGGATCATCTGCATCTGTCGCTGTCACTTGGGTAACGAAGGTTCCTATACAGAGTATAAATAGTTAGTCTACTGAACATTTAGTAGTTAACCATGGCGGAACACGAATGATTTCCCACTTCAATAAACTGAACATGTACTTCTGTGCAAAGATGCCGTTGAATTGAATTAGCTTTCTTGTCACATGTACTCAAATGAGCACAGTGAAAGTTTACTAGTCGCCACTGAAGGCACCACCCTAAGTACAAGGTGCCTAGGTACAGATTCTTCAGTACAAGATCTTACGAAAAACAAAATTAGAAAAATAAAGAGCATTGCAGACCAGTTTTGAAACCTGGAAGGACATAGTCTAAATGAGCAGAACAATAACAGCATAAGCACAAGCTTACCGGCTGTCTTTTCTCTCGTCCTTGTTCCAAGGGTTCAACCTCTAACAGATCGGTCCACACTTGTGGGAAAAGCTCTGCACTGGTTTATTATTGCATCCAGTGGAATGGTCCACCAGGAAATTCTGCTCTCACCACTGGCCTTCAGGTTTAGAATTTAGAAGAATGGGAGGAGGGGATCAAATAGAAACCTATAAAATTCTAACAGGACTCGATAGGGTGAGGTTCCCAATGATCAGGAGTTCAGAACCAGGGGTTACTGTCTAGCAATACCAATAGGTCATTTAGGACTGAAATGAGGAGAAAGGCCTTCACCCAGAGAGTGGTGAGCCTGTGGAATTCTCTACCACAGAAAGTAGCTGAAGTCAAAACATGAAATGTTTTCAAGAAGGAGTTAGATCTAGTTCTTAGGGCTAAAGGGATCAAAGGGCAAAGAGAGAAAGTGGGAACTGTGATTGGGTTTGATGATCAGCCATGATCATATTGAATTGTAGTACAGATTTGAAAGGTTGAATCGCCTACTCCTGCTCCTATTTACTGCCTCTATGTTTCTAGAATTCGAGGACCTGGGTGGAGTGCCACATGAATCAGTGCTGGGGGTAAAATGGGATTTGGGAGTCCTCGTCCATGGATCACAAAAAGCTAGTATCCATGTTCTTTGGGTGACTGGGAAGACAAATGGAATGATGGCCTTTATTTAGAGTCGTAGAGACATACAGCATGAAAACAGACCCTTCGGTCCAACTCATCCATGCTGACCAGATATCCTAAATAAATCTAGTCCCATTTGCCAGCATTTGGCCCATAACCCTCTAAACTCTTCTTATTCATGTACCCATCCAGATGCCTTTTAAATGTTGGAATTGTACCAACCTCCACCACTTCCTCTGGCAGCTTGTTCCATACACGCACCACCCTTTGTGTGGAAAAGTTATCCCTTAGGTCCCTTTTAAATCCTTCCCCTCTCACCTTAAACCTATGCCCTCTATGTTTGGACTCCCCCACCCTGTGAAAAAGATCTTGGCCATTCACCCTAACTATGCCCCTCTTGATTTATAAACCTCTTTAAGGTCATCCTTCGGCTTGTGACACTCCAGGGAAAGTAGCCCCAGCCTATTCAGCCTCTCCCTGTAGCTCAAACCCTCCAATCTCCACAATACCCTTTTCTGCAACCTTTCAAGATTTAACAGCATCTTTCCTACAGCAGGGAGACCAGAACTGAATGCGGCATTCGAAAAGTGGCCTAACCAATGTCCTGTACAGTCGCAACATGACTTCCCAACTCCTATACTTAATTTCAAATAGAGTGGAGTATGGAAGTCAGGAGCTTTTGCTAAATGGCAGATAGAATACTGTGAACAGTTTTAGGCTCCTTATCTAGGGAGAGATATACTGCCATTTGAGGCAGTGCAGAGAAGGTTCACTTTGCTGATACCAGCAAAGGAGGACTGTTTCCTGAAGAAATGTTGAATAAGTTAGGACAGTACTCATTGGAATTTAGAAGAATGAGAGGTGACCTTATTGAAACATTCAAGATTCTTAGGGGACCTGACAGGGCAATGCAAAAAGTTTGTTTCTCCTTGTGGGGAGTCTAGGTAGAGGGGGCAAAATCTCAGACCAAGGGTTGCACAGTTAAGACAGAGATAAGATTTTTTTTTTCTCTCTCTCTCAAAGGGTAGCAAATCAATGGAATGCTTTCCCACAGATGGCTGCAAAGTCTGGTTCATTGGGTACGTTTAAGGCTGAGATAGATATTTTTACTCAATAAGGGAATTAAGGCTTGTGGGAAAAGGCAGGAAAATGGGGTTCAGGATTATCAGGTCAGCCATGATCTTGTTGAGTTGGGGAGCAGACCCGATGGGCTGAATGGCCTGAACCTACTCCTAGATCTTATGGTCTTCGCTGGACCGAGAATCAACTTGTAAAGGTGAGCATGAGGCTGACGGGTTAATGGATATTAATGTGAGTTAGAAATGGGGCTGCAGATTTTGTACAAAAGCTTTGGCAGAGCAGCGAACATTTAGGCATTCATTTCTGCAGCAGATGCATTTAAATCAGGAGAAGATCAGTAAAGTCAATACAGTAAAAATAAACAGAGATGGAACATGGAACTGCAGTGCACTCAGTAACACAGTCAGCATATTTACCCCAGTAAATCATCAAACTGTCACCCTAATGTGTTCTATTATTTTTTGTGTGGCAATTTCCAACAGAAATATTTGCTACAGTAATTAAAAAATGTACTTTTTATTATTTCTTGTAGAGATATCTTGAGAGATAGAATGCAGTCGTGAATGTTGTGCTGGAGGTATTGGGACAAGGGGCAAACATTTAAGGTGAAAGGCAGGAGGTTAAGACGGGATTGAGGAAATTTTTTTTTCAGCCAGAGAGTGGTGGGTGTCTGGAATGCGCTGCCTGGCAGGGTAGTTAAGGAGAGAAATCTCAGGACCAGTAAAAGGCACTTGCTTGAGCACTTGTAGTGTCATTCATTCAAAGCTACTGTGGGAAAGTAGGACTACTGCAGATTTAGTGTTTTTCTTTGGTGGTGCAGATTTGATGGGCTGAAAGGCATCTTCTGTACTTTATGATAGATCAATGCATTAGGTATTAAGGTGCAATTTAAATGAAGCAGAGGTGGAGAGGCAGAACGATTTAGGGGAGCGAGATGAAAGGAGAAGATCATAGATTTAGACCGGATGGGACTGGTGGTGGTAATAATAAAAGCAAATCTGCTTTCTTTGCGACTCATTTTAAATCTAAACCCACTCCTTCCTGCTCCTTTTACCAGTGGGAATGCTTTCTCCAAGGATTTCCAATCTCCCCTCATAATGATGTATCTCATCCCTGGTCCCACTCTCACCTAACACTCTCACATTGACTTTCATATACCACCCATCTGTCCACACCATCGATTTGTCTACATCCTTTTCTAATGCAGGGGAAGAGTCAATAATGTTACTTGGGTCTGGAACCAGATGGAAGCTAAATTTCCTTCCCTAAAAGACATTAGTGATGTAGATGTAGATTTTTTTCTGAAGAAGGGTCCAGACCTGAAACGTCAGCCTTCCTGCTCCTCTGATGCTGCTTGGCCTGCTGTGTTCATCCAGCTCTACACCTTGTTATATCAGTGAAGTAGATGGGCTCTTATGAGAATCCAGTAGCTTTATCCTTCCTGAGGATGGTTCAGTGATCAGCACTGTTACCGTACAACACCACAGACCCAGGTTCAATTCAACTCTCTGTGTGAAGCTTGCACGTTCTCCCGATATCTGTGTGGGTTTCCTCCCACAGTCCAAAGAAAGGCAGACTAGGTGGATTGGCCACACTAAATGGCCCATTGTGTCCATGGATGTGCAGGCTAAGTAGATTAGTCATGGGAAAATGCAGGGTTACAGGGATAGGGGTGTGTGGGTCTGGGTGGGATGCTCTTCAGAGGTTTGGTGTAGACTCAATGGGCCAAATAGACTGCTTCCACACTGTAGGGATGCGATGAATCCGTTCAATGATAGCTTTAGACTCCAGAACCTTTAATTATTTGAAATGTGCTAGCTATCATGGGGAAACATGAACCCATATCAGTTGTTTCCTTTTTAATTTGTTAATTTGGCATCGCGGTAGGACAGCACTTATTGTCCATTAAGGACAATAGTAAAGAGTTAACCACATTCCTGTAGGCCTGGAGTCACATGTAGGATAGAAGATTTCTTTCACATTAAAGATAGGACTGAACTGGTTGGGATTTCACAACAGTTAACATGGTCACCGTCAGATAACACAGTGTACAGCTGGAGGAACACAGCAGGCCAGGCAGCATCAGAGGAGCAGGAAAGCTGACGTTTCGGGTCGGGGCGCTTCTTCAGACCCTCTGATGCTGCCTGGCCTGCTGTGTTCCTCCAGCTCCACACTGTGTTATCTCAGACTCCAGCATCTGCATCAGGCTGGCTTTCCCTTGGATTTATATTTCACTATCTCCCATAGTGGGATTTGAACCCACATCCCTGGCATGTTTACCGAAGGGTCAATTGACATTACCAATGTTCCATCATTGCCCCATGAAATTAGATTGAATCTTTAGATCAGGCCTTAGTGAAAACAAAATAGTCAGTAATAGAACAACAACGCTATATACCAGGACATAAATACTTTACAACAGGAACATTGAATGAGTTACGTGTCTACATTTTGGATTTTGCTGCACACTCACATTCAGGTACTCTGAAACCATCCTGTGATCTAAATGGGATGGCTGCAGAATAACAGCAAAAATTTGCTGTGACATTCTTCAGACAGTAACAGGTACACACCCAGTCAGAGGCATCTCGAATTAGGACTGCACAAGCTGTTCATAATTTCTTCTTCACATCTACCTCTGCTGGTACATGTGTGTATGATAGTTTCAAATGGACAAAGCCCAAATGTCAAAACACCACAATGTTGAAGAAAATCTTTACTAAGCCAAATTAAATTAATCAATGGTGAGCTATGTAAGAAAATGTCAGAAGTGTTTTTAAATGAAGCAAGAGGTATATAACAAGACAGAAGGTTTTTTGAGAGGAGTTATAGAATACGGGTCTTGAAAATACAATTATCGAAGATGGGAGATCTGCTTCAGAGGAATGATGAGGTATAAACTGAACCTCACAGGGAAGAAAAATGTTGTGGCTACTGGAAATCTGAAATGAAAGTATAGAATGCTATAAGCACTCAGCAGGTTTGACAGCACTGGTGGAGAGAAATTAACAGAGTGCACTCATTTCAGTTTGATGACCTTTCATAAAATTTGTTTCTCTCTCTCCAAAGATGTTATCCAAACAGCTGAGGATTTCCAGCATGTTCTGTTTGTTGTTGTAGATATTGAACCCCATTATACCTATTTAATGAGGGCTTTGGGAGTCAGTTTCAGAGGCCCACTTCCTGGGTGCCTGACAGATCTCAAGTCCAAACCTCATGGGGAGGCAGATGGCGTATCTTTCAAGCAATGGAAACAGCATCATAAAGCTGTTAGCTCTTCTGTGTGTCTTTACAAAGAATCCAACAACTGTTACACCACAGGGAAACTGGACCTCTCTGAGCAGTGCTGGTGTCAAGCCTTCCAGTCTTTAGTGAGGTTATTAAAACACAATAGGTTAGCCCAGATTTAACTCTACCTCAGGACAATTAATTTTCCACTGAGGATAGATACTTTCAGGAGGCCATCTTGAGTACTATGATGGAGGCTTGGACAAACGGTGATTGTGGATCGCTCACTCTCTTTCATTGGTCAGAGAATCGAGTACATGTTGCAGCTGTACAAAACATTGGTAAGTCCACGTTTGGAGTACTGCATACCATTCTAGTTGCTGTGTTATAGAAAGGACGTTATTAAACTGTAAAAGATGCAAATAAGATTTACAAGGATGTTACCAAGTCTAGAAGGTTTGAGTTAGAAGGAGAGGCTAGATAGGCTGGTTCCTTTTTTTCTCTGGAGCATAGGAGGCTGAAGGGTGACCTTATAGAGGTTTATAAAATCATGAGGGGCATGGATAAGGTGAATGGCCAAGGTCTTTTCCTCACATAGGGAAGTCCAAAATTAGAGGGCATAAGTTTAAGGTGAAAGGGAAAAGATTTAAAGGGGAACTGTGGGGCAACTTTTCTCATGCAGAGTATGCGTGCATGGAATGAGCTGCCAGGGGAAATAGCAGTGCGTACAATTACATTTAAAAGTACATTTACAAGTACATTTAAAAATATTTGGGTAGGTACATGGATAGGAAAGGTTAAGAGGGATAGGGGCCAAATGTAGGCAAATGGGACTGGTCCAGCTTAGTAAACCTGGTTGGCATGGACAAGTTGGGCCGAAGGGTCTGTTTCCATGCTGTATGACTCTATGACTCTATGTGATAATAATTTCACTTCCTTACCATCAGGTGACCTTTCGGGAACTGTGGCAACATATGGCTCATCCAGAAACTGCGGTTCATTGTCATTGATGTCCTGGACCTTAATAAGGAACTCGGACTCTGGTTCTACGTGTTGGTTGGTGGCTCTGTCAACCACTTGCGCCCGTAGGATGTAAAATGGCTTCTCCTCTCGATCCAGCTTCTTTAGGAGGAAAATGTCTCCATTATCTTCATCAATGGTGAAAATTGTGCCAGCTCCGTCACCCGTCAGGTTATATCTCAGAGAACCATTTCCATTGTCCGAATCAGAATGGAGCTGTGGGTGTCATTTATGTAAATAGTTGAGCATGTACCACACAAAGAATCAACAAACTGACTGACAATGTAATAGAAGCAGTGACTGTCAGATTGTCAACGTAATAATACTTTCAGCCTAGCAACAAACTGTCAAGGAATATTCTGAATGACCGGGACTATAACAGGTTACACAATTGTACATACTCAAAATCTGGATAACAGTGTGCCTGATATAATAGATGCAACATCAGCCCAGTATTTGGTAACAGAAGTTCAGGGGAAAGGTACAACAACTGGGGAGAGGGGACCACTGGGGCAGACATAGACAACACAGAATTGTTGCAACAAGAAAGAGGCCTTTCTGTCCATTATGCCTGCACTGGTTCTATACCCTTGTGCCAATTTCCTGCCTTTTTCCCATATCCCGGCACACTATTTCTAACCAAACAATCGTCCAGCGCCCCTCTTGAATGCTTCAGCTGACCCTGCCTCCACCACATTTCCATGGCAGCACCTTCCAGTCCCGAGCTACTCGCTGTGTGAAAAAGCTTTTTCTCCCATCAACCCTTGCTTGGTTGTACATTCCTTTAAATCTATGCCCTGTGTTTCAAGTAACCAGAGTGTGCAGAGTTGGAATTAATGACGGGATTCAGCGACTTCACATTCTGCTGACATGTCTCTGCAGTCACCCTCGGCATGTTTGCACATGCTCCTCATGTCTGTGTGGGTTTCCACAAGGTGCTCCGGTTTCCTCCCACAGTCCAAAGGTGTGCAGGTTAGGTGGACTGGCCATGGGAAATGCAAGGTCAGGGAATAGGGTAGGGGGGTGAGTCTGGGTGGGATGCTCTTCAGAGGGTCGATAGGCAAAGTGGCCTGCTTCCACACTGTCGGGATTCTATGATTCTATGACCTGAATTCATGATTTCTACCTTCCCTACCCATTAGAAGAAAACAAAGCAGCTATTTCTGGACCTAGGGATTCTGAGATCATATGTAGATTTCCACTGTCAGGGGATTTTGACACTTTCTTTAGGGGCTTAAATTGGGCCAAATCGCAGCAGATTTTCAGATGTCAAACAGTCACTCGTGGTGTTAAAATAGAAAGCTATAATTGCCTTACAATTCTGCACAGAATAGGAGCACAACCCCTACCTCCCTCCTCCACATTTTAGGTCAGGATGGGAAGGTTCACTCAGGCTTGATGAAGACATGAGTCCATTTACACTAATGTTTTCAGAGATTTGCTCTCCCACTGGTTTCCTGAAAAGTACCCTGTGCCAGGCCATGCAGCTGAACAAACAAAAGGCGAGTATCTATCCTAATCATTTATCCTTTCACTGGTGTCTACAATTGGATGTTTCCCTGATGTGAACATGCGTATGTTATAACAAGAAACTAAGAGTGGGTATTGTGGTATTGAGGATCTAACAGATATTAATTGCATCTAGCCTCATGTACAAAGATTTCATTCCTCAGACACACAAGTGTCTGGGCTGGAATTAAACTAATAAACAGGAATCTGTTTCAAGTGATCCGGTGTAAAATGGGTTGTAATACATAAGTTCACTTGATACAGTAATGATATTATGAGCATGTCTCTTAAAGGTACTCTGATATACTGACTGCGGGACATGATACCATATTGGTCACCTTTTGACTCAACTATCTTACCACACTCCTATTTACATGGTGTCCCATATTTTACCTTTGATAAACATCATCATTCAAAAACTCTGCTCCCTGTGTCTCACCTCCCAGTCCCATTCTCCCATTGCTGCTGTTCTTGTTGTCCTGCGACTTTGCTCCCGGGCAAGAAATATTTTGATGTTAAAATTCTCATCCTCCAGTGCTTCCATGGCCTCCTCCATCCTAACTCTCCTCCACTTGACAACCTTCTAAAAGGTCCACAGCCCTTCGATTCTGACTAGATTGAGGTCTGGCAAAAAGGTCATCTAGACCTGAAATATTAGCACTGTTCCTCTGCACAGGTTCTGACAGACCTGCCAAGTATTTCCACCATTTTATGTCAATGCTCTTCTGCTCTGGCCCCTTGAGCTTTAATTTTTTTAAAAGTTCTTTTTTATTTAATTCTTAATCTCTTAATTTTTCTTAGTTGAATTTTAATGGATTGGCCCTGGCAATGGATCAGTTGCCTGGGTACGAAGCTCTGTAATTCCCTCTTTCAACCTCTCATCTCCTCTTCTTCACTTTCTTCCTCTCTGGCATTCCTGAAAGTCTTTTGTTTCTGTTTTGATGGCTCTATAAGTGGTTCGGTGTCATATTTTGTTTTATAACAGTCCTGTGAAGGACAGAGTGCTGTTTTAATATGTTAAAGGTGCCACTGAACTGCATGTTGCCTTCATAAATACACTGGAGAATTTACATGAACAGTGGGTAGCGCAGTCGATAAATAAGGAAGTCAGTTAGGGACTGAAATGGCCATTCTGATGCCATCTTTTATTTTTAACCCTCTGCAAGGCTGCATTTGATCCCATTCTTTGTTACATCCGTTTTCTTTATGTTTTACAGAGTCAGAGAAGCAAACTGCAGAGCAAGAGACTATTCAGCGCGCAAAGACTGTGCTATCTCTTTCAAGGTACTACACAATTATACACACTCCATGGCCTTTAATCCTCTTCCCTTCAGGTATTTACCCAACCTGCCTGTAGACATGATGATCAACATCCTGGAGGTTACCATTGACAAAAGAACTGACTGGGCCACCCGTCTCAACTTTGTGGCTACGTTAGCGAGTCAGACGTTAGTAATTCACCTCCACTCTCCCCCAGTGTCTGCTCACCCCTCTGCAAGGCACAAGTTTGGAGAATGTTAGAATGCTCACCACTTGTATGGATGCGTGCAGCTCCAACAACACTCAAGAAGCTTGATATCATCCAGGACAAAGCAGTCCACTTGATAGCCACCCTGCCCCACCTTAAATATTCACTTCCTTCACCATCCACGGTCAGCAGCCGCAGTGTATACCATCTACAAAATGTATTGTAGTATCTCACCCACATCCTTGCAATACCACCCTCCAGCACCGAGAAGGACAAGGGCAGCAGATTAATAGAAACACAACAACCTGCAAATTTGCCTTCAAGTCTGAGTCAAAATCCTCAAACTCCCTTTCTGAAATCACTATGGGTGTTTCTATGCCTCAAGGACTGCAATGCAAAAGGCAATGCACCACCACCTTCCCAAGGGCAATTAGGGATGGCCAACATTTACTAGCCTATAGAAAGAATAAAAGAAAAATCTGCTTCTACCTCCCTTACAGGCAGTGCTTCCCTGATGATTTCATTAAAAAGTACTGACTGTCTCACCTCTGGCTCAACTGATCATGTTGATCAGAAGACAGAGATACATGAATGTTTTCTTCTGCCTTTCTCCTGCAATCCCACTCGGCCACAGGAATCTATCCTGAGGGACGGGGGTATGTGATTTGTCTTTTTCCCCTTATCATTCTGAACAATTTCCACAGCATTTCACCATCTGGTGATCTCCTGGGTGAACCGTTGCCTACTCAAGGACAGAGAGCATGGCTTCTATCTCAAGATATGCCAGTGCAGTGGCAACAATCTATCAGTGTCACAAAGCAACATCTTCTCACTTCTTTGGAGCGAACACTCGGGTAAGGTATGATGGCAATGTGAGAAAATCAGCCTCAAGCTATTTCACTGGAACCGGATACAATTATGGACTTTACTTTGTTGTCAAAGATCTCTGGTCAGAAGTTGAACAAGCACAAAGCATGTTGAAGGGTCTGAGGAAGGGTCACCAGACCCAACACCCAACTCTGATTTCTCTTCTCTGATTGCTGCCAGACCTGCTGAACTTTTCCAGCAACTTATGTTTTTGTTCCTCATTTACAGCAATCCACAGTTCTTTTGGCTTTTATGATGAGTATCATTTTGTTTTAAGACTCTCTCCCTGTTTTTTTTTTCCCCTTTCATTCATGGGATTTGGGCTTCATTGGCCAATATTTGTTATCCAGCCCCAATTGTCCAGAGGGCATTTAAGTGCCAACGAAATTGATGTGGGTCTGGAGTCACATTTAGGCCAGACCAAAAAAGGGCAGCAGATTTCCTTCCCTAAAGGGCATTATTGAACTAGGTGGGTTTCACAACAATAGATCCATGTTTTTCCATTAGGATAACAATTTTAAATCAGATTTTTTTTCTAACTGAATTTATATTTTACTATTTGTGGTGGGTGATGGGTTTCACACCCATTTCCCCTTGATCATTAGTCTGGATTTCCAGTTTATTTTCCCAGTGACATTACCACTGTGCCATCAGCTCCCCAGTGTGGACATTTTCTAATTGACCTATGGAGAGAATATTATTACACACCTCTGGAACAAGTGGGACTTGAACCCTAGCCTCCTGGTTCAGATGGAGGGACACTACCACTGCTGCACAAGAGCCTCTACCATTGTTAAATTCCATTCATGTTCTGCACAATATGAAGGTTCTTGGTTCTCGGTGAATCACCCACACCCATTGTCTGGCAGGAACTGTAATCGAAACCATTCTATTGGTTGCTGTTTGGAACCACATCTATGTTATTCGGCCAACACAGCTCACAAGTCTATGTTATACGTCATGCAGTAGCCCAAATCTCAACCAAGAGAACCAGAGTGGCACACTGCATGCACTCTTGCAATTTGCATCAAAATATACATTGTTTTATTATAGCAAACCATCCCCAGTAATATTACTGAATGTAATTTGAAAATAAGACATGTAATGACATTACAAAAATATTTGAGAAGATAAAAATTGAGATATTTTCCAGATGCACAGGAGGTCAAAATATGCCCATAAAAATATGTTCATCACTAATAATAAATTCAGGAACAACAGTGTTATGAAGATGTGTTATTTTAAATCATGCTTTAAAACATCGCTGATGGGAAGTATGTCTACATCTTAGAGTTTTTGGGGAAAAAAAACACTTTGCTCAGCAAAGGAGACTGATATCGCAACGGAAATTGCTTCTCATCAAAGTTTGTGA